AGTTGTTGCTTTAACCTATGTTCAGTAATGCCTGTTGTTGCCTTTGTTTGTTTTGTTTTGTTTTGTTTTGTTTATTTTGTTTTTTGAGACAGGGTCTTGCTATGCAGTTCAGGCTGGCCTGGAACTCACCATGTATCTCAGGCTGACCTGGACTTGGGGTGATCCTGGTGCTCAGGCTTCCTATTGCTGGAATTACAGGTATGCAGCACCATGACCCACTCAGTAATGTCCATTATAAGGAGACTATTCCTATGAAATTATCCAACAATGTACAATAAAAAATGTGTTCATCCGAAGAATGAGATGACATGCCAAGTATGTTATGAGGCCTTTTATTTTCACTTCCTGGATTTCAAATAAACCAGTGTTGGAATCTACAAACAACTGTGAAATAGGTTCAGAAGAAAACAGCAAAACAGAGCTGCTTGGCCCTGGCTGCAGCGCCTCTGCACATTATGTGACAGCTGTTGTATAATTGTGCATTTAGCTCGAAACACATGTATGAAAGAGAAAACAATTAGACTCAGAAATGACCTGAGAGAGAAAAAGAGAAACGCTGAAAGGATACAGACAATTCTATCGAGTCTTCAACTAGGAGGTTCAGTGCAGTCTAGGACTTTGGAATGGAACGGAACTGCCTTAGAATCTAGAGGATTGGCCCATGCCACCAAAATCTCGTCTGTCTTCTACCTTTTTATAAAGAAAATTGTACTAAAAAATGTCCACACTCATTCATTTAGTGACTGTCTGTAGTTTAATTAAAACAAATTAGAGGAAGTTCTATCAGAAATCATCTGGCCCACAAACCTGGAGGTATTTATTGTCTGTCCCATAAAAATTATGTTCACCTGTTCTTGCCTTAGGTGAATGAAAAGTTAAGCTTAAGTGCCTGTAAGATGATTATCCACATGGAGAAGGAAAGCAATTGATTCTTGAAGCTATCTGGGAATCTTCTTAACAGATGAAATGATGGGGGTGGGGGATTGGGGCCAGACCCTAGGCTTTGAAGAAAGGCAGGCCTGAAATGACACTGAAATTTTGGCCTTGTGCTTATTAGGTCTATAATTATGCAGAAGCTACTCACACTTTCTATGTCTAAAAAGTGGGGTTACCAAATGAAGATGGAATGAATACTGAGATCAGCATGTCTATCTTGAAAAAGCTAATTAATAATAGCTTGCCCATCTAAACTCTATATTCAGGGAAGCTGGAAATTTCACTAGAAGGAAATTGGTTCTGTTAATTCATAGTAATCAGATCATCCAAAGAAATTACTCTTATTCCTGCTTGAACTTTTGCTACAGCTTCAATACAATAAACAATGTACTTAACATGAGAGTAGGTCACTTTAAAATTCTCCTTTTTGGAATTTCCCAAGTCTTATTTAAAATTGTTTTATGCTTGTCTATAGCAATGATTAACAGATGCAAACACCTTTCAAAACCAGAATTTCCTTTAGTTTTAAATGGTTTTTCACAGATAACATTGTCACACTGCTGATTGTTGAAGACTGTCTACTTCAGTCCAGTAGTCTTGAGATCCTTAATAGACCTGCTGACTTTCCTGATTCCACGCAGAAAAATAAATATACTTTAGGGCTTCTGAAATCACAGTAGCTATAGTCACCCAGCACTGAAAATATACCTAAATAATTCGATTTTTAAAAGCTGGCTTAGGGCAGCACTTACAGGGCCTTTATTCCTTTCCAGCCCCTGTTCTCAGGGAGATGACTACTTTGCTGCTGGCCTTGTCCTGAGACTCCTGGCGAGGGTTCTTTCTGCACATATTCTACTGAGAACTAGTGCCCTTTGGAACTCTTTCAATTTGGCTTCTCCGATTCCAAGTCTGTCCGAGAGAGAAAAGTTACCTAGGCAGTAGCATGAAAAGGATGAAAGTCTAATCATAATGATGATAGTAGTAGCAGTTTAACAATACCTGGGTTTAGTCGTCAGAGCAGCTGTGCTGCATATCCTTAGCACAAGTTTCTGGTTTGTAAATTAATTCATCTGAAAATCGTGCCCTGTCTCCTCATGCAATTTCAGTGTTGGAGTGCTGGTTTTGAAAGGATTTAGGTTCAAAGTCAAAAGTTTTCTGCCCTAGGAGTTACAAACAAGTAGAGTCCTTTCATTTCTTGCTCCGGGCCTGTTCATCCAATCATATCCCAATATGCAAATAAAGTTTAACCACTGCAGATAAAAAGGAACAAATAAAGCCAAGTGCTATATTAGAATCATATTTGCTGAGCCGCTCGTCTGTGTTCCAGGAGCAGAAATAGAAATGTCCTCAGCAAAACCAGCCATACCTACCCCACTGGCTGATTTGAAAATTCAGTATACTAAGGTTAGTACAACTTGTATGTGCTTCTTTGCCTTGGGTTTCCATAAGGTTTAAACCATAAACTATTTAACTAATTTAACTAAACTTGTGTGAAGAGCCTTTTTCAAATACAATATAAAGCCTTATTTAAAAGGAAAGTCTGGGTTTGGCCTTCCAATCATATAATAAATTCTAAATTCTATTAGACAATGTTTCATTAATTTATTTCTTAAAGTGAAAGGAATTCCCTTCTTTGTGAAAGATTCTTGTACCAGCATTCAGTGGACTTTAGTAAGCAGTGCCTTGTATTTAAGAACGTCATTACCAGAGAGCCAGGAAATTCTTCTGAAGGAGAGGATTGTGGCCACATTGTGAGGAGTAAAAACAGTAAGATCGTTTTTAAAGGTTGGTTCAGAGGCTTTCAGATCCAGAAGGACCACTGTTGTCACTGTTCCAAAACAGGCTGGCAGCTCTTGTTATGTCCAGGTTCCAGCTGAAATTTCCTATCAACTAGTGTGTAGGCCCTCAGTCCAGAGTTAAGATTTCCAGGGTAATTTTACTTTTCATAGAAACATATAAATTAAATTACTTTGCTATAGAAAGATTTAATGTAGGAGTGAGTAGAAGCACTTGTGTGAGTTTTGGGAAAGCCGATGAGAGCTTGGTTCCCAAATTAAAACACAAGTATTAGATTTTTGAGGTCTTTTAACTAATAAAGCTGTTTCACTATCTCACCAAAATCTGTACCCTAGAAATGGCAGAGGCATATGATGCTCACAGATATTCTGAATTGCTTTACATTTTCAAAAGCGGAAAGAAGTAATGGGTTAATGCCCTCTTTCCATGATCTTTAAATTTGCTTGGAGAGGATGAGACCAAGGTGTTCTACAGAGGAACTAAATGTTGTGACTTACATCAAGAAACCTTGTATTCTCTCTTCGGTAGAAAGTTTAATAGGGTTGGGTGCCCTGGTTTGAGGGTTTCTCAGAAGGGGCACACGAGAGGATGTCATCCACATATTGTAGGACTTTAGATAGAAGGAGATTTATCCAAATAAGTGAGGGCTGTCTCTAAACCCTTGGAGCAAAAGATACTGAGAAGGAGAGGATGAGACCAAGGTGTTCTACAGAGGAACTAAATGTTGTGACTTACATCAAGAAACCTTGTATTCTCTCTTCGGTAGAAAGTTTAATAGGGTTGGGTGCCCTGGTTTGAGGGTTTCTCAGAAGGGGCACACGAGAGGATGTCATCCACATATTGTAGGACTTTAGATAGAAGGAGATTTATCCAAATAAGTGAGGGCTGTCTCTAAACCCTTGGGGCAAAAGATACTGAGAATAACTGAGTATCCTGAACAGAGGGGGTCTTTAAATGTATAAAGAAACTGTCAGTAAACAAAAAAAATGTGTCTTTTAAATCTAAAGCTATAAACCACGCAGTTTCTTCAGAAACCTGGGATAAAAGGATATACAGGTCAAGTACCATAAGATGTAAAGCATTACTGCCTACTTTGCTAGTCAAAGACCTTGAAATAGACTCCATGTTCCACTGGGTTCTTGAGTGCCCAAAACTTATTACAAATCTTAAGGAGGCCTTGCACTTTTGTTGATTAGGGGCTGAAATCCCCTTTCAGCCTCCAAGTATCAACAGATACTATCACTGGTGAGGAAAAGTAGTAGTATCCTTTAACTGAATGAGTATAGGTAATAATTTGTTTCACATTTTTTAATAGCCCAGAATTTGGGGATTACCTCTGTCTCTAATAGGGGAAAAGGGAGAGCCCTAATCTTGGGTGCATACAAATAGTGGTATTTAGAAGAGATAAAATATCTCATTATCGCAAAATGGGTGTGCTTTTTAGACTAATTAGAAAGGCATGAGAGAATAGAAAATTGTGCCAACTGTATCTAAAGGGCTATTAAAAATATCTGGCTATACATTTCCTGGTTATAGCTCTTGAGGCAGGAAACAGTGAGGACCCCCTAGAGATAACTGTTTAACACAAAGATAGGGGGGAAAAGCAGCTTTTAATGATGCCAGTGGCTCAGAGTGACTCCTCTTCTTACATCTACAAAGCTTGATTCCACCGTAATTTCCCTGGGAAGAGAGCAAGCAGGATTTACACAAAGGAGAGCAGCAGAGAGGGGGAGATGAAGGATTCAGGCAGGACTTTCTGAGTCTGTTATGCTCCTTTGGTGGCAGATTATACAAGTTCTTCTGTCTATTCAGGAAGATTCTATAC